CCACTTGAGCCACATTGCCACTTCCGGCTTTTTTCTTTTTGCTTCTGTGGTGCTGAGGAATGGAACCCAGGGCCTCAGGCATGCAAGGCAAGAGCTCTACCACTGAGCCACCTTCCTAGCCTCTAGGGCCACTTCTGTGACAAGGCCCAACACTAAGAGCAAAAAAGTCTTTATGAAATGTACCTTTTCCTTGGTTGAGTTCCAACCTGTTTGACAGACTTTTCTTCTGTGTAGAAGAGCAGACTTCTCTGCAAGGTAGAGACAAGCAGCACCTTCTGGCTGTAATCCAGCTGCACAATGGAGGATGGTTCTTCCAATACCAAGTGTGAGTTGCAGATCCCCTGTGAGAATCAGTGAGACCTGGGGTCAATGTTGTGTGGTGGAACCCCTGCCAAGCAAGCCGAGGCCCTGAGGTCTAGCTCAAGCACCGCCCAAAAGCAAGTATGTTTTGATTTCTTTTTTTTTTTTTTTGTCGGTCGTGGGGCTTGAACTCTGGGCCTGGGCGCTGTCCCTCAGCTCTTCAGCTCAAGGCGAGCGCTCTACCACTTCAGCTCTTATTTTATTCACATTTACTGCTGGACTAGCAGCTACTGCAGTCCTGCTTCCGTCTCTCAAGTAGCTGGGATGTGCACATGAGGCACCTTGATATGGGCTTGCTCTGTTGCCCAGGCTCACCTCTCTGTCTCTGCTTCCTGAGATTACAGGTGTCCTCCATCACGCTTGGCTTAAATGTTTGTTTCCAAGTGATGTGGCATGAGGTAGATGTTAACATTTACTATTATTAATAAGAACTTTTCCAAATGGCATTGCAGTAGGTTGACACTGAATCTAAAGAAATCAAAACAGCCGGGCGCTGGTGGCTCATGCCTGTAATCCTAGCTACTCAGGAGGCTGAGATCTGAGGATCGCAGTTCAAAGCCAGCCCGGGCAGGAGAGACTGTGAGACTCCTATCTCCAATAAACCACCAGAAAACCGGAAGTGGCGCTGTGGCTCAAGTGGTAGAGCACTTGTCCTGAGCTGAAGAGCTGAGGGATAAAGCCCAAGCCCAGAGTTCAAGCCCCACGACCGACCAAAAAACAAGCAAAAAAGAGCTGGGTTGGTAGTTCTAGTGCTAGTGCTCGTTAGTAAGTGAGAGGCCCTGAGTTCAAACCCTAGTACTGCCCAGGTACCCCCCAAAAAACAAAAAAGCGAAAAAGAGAAACAAACACCTAAATGATTGTTTAATTTTTCTTAACATGTTCTCAGTAAGTTGACACTAGTGACTCATGCCTGTAATTCTAGCTATACTGGGAGGCTAAGGTTGGGAGGATCACAGTTCAGGGCCAGTCTGGCAGAAAAGTTCTCAACTAACAGTTGGATGCCCTGACATGAACTTGTCATCTATGTCTAGTGATCAGTGGATATGGAAGGCTAGGTCAGGAGGATAATAGTTCTAGGTTAGCCTGGGCAGAAAAATCTGGGAGATTTCCACTTCAACACAAGGATCTATGTATTGTGTCTGCCATTCCAGGAAGCATAAAATAGGTGGACTGTGGTCAAGGCAAGCACCTGGGTAGGAAGTGAGAGCCTACCTCAAACAGCATAAAAAAGTGGGCTAGAGGGGCTGGGAAGGTGGCTCAGTGGTAGAGCGCTTGCCTTGCATGCTCAAGGCCCTGGGTTCGATTCCTCAGCACCACATAAGCAAAAAGCAGGAAGAGGTGCTGTGGCTCACGTGGTAGAGTGCTAGCCTTAAGTGAAGAGCTGAGGGACAGCGCCCAGGCCCAGAGTTCAGGCCCCACGACCGGACCCCCCCGCCCCGCCAAAAAAAAAAAAAAAAAGTGGGCTACAGGAGTGGGATGTAGCTCAGTGGTAGAGCGCTGCCAAGCAACTACAGAGTCCTGGGTTCAATCCCAGCACCAAAAAAGAAAAGACAAAAAAAGAAGTTTAAAGACAATGGGCTAGGGCTGGGAAGGTGGCTCAGGGGTAGAGTGCTTGCCTTGCATGCAGGTGGCCCTGGGTTCGATTCCTCAGCACCACATAAGTATAAGCGCTGTGGCTCAAGGGGTAGAGCACTAGCCTTGAGTTAAAGAGCTGAGGGACAGCGCCCAGGCCCAGAGTTCAGGTCCCACGAACTACAAAAAAACAACAACAAAAACTGGACAATGGGCTAGAGGCACTGGCACGCTACGTGGTCCAGTGCTTGGTTAGTACACAGGGACCCTGAGTTCCTATGTGTGTCTGACCATACAAAACGATACTTATGGAAATGAACTGCAGGAAATGGAGAGAGACTTTTTCTTCTCCTGTTTTCATTTCCTTTTCTTTTTGTTCTGTTTATTTATCTGTCTTTGGGGGTGGAACAGGAGGCACAGAAATGGAGGGACAAAGGATAAATACATATTGGACACTATGTTGAAAATGAACTACACAATTTATGGGTGGGAGGTGGGAAGGAAAAATTGGGAGAGATTTGAGGGAAAGGGTGACATTGTCCAAAAAGAAATGTACTCTTGGGCTGAGAATTTGGCTTAGTGGTAGAATGCTTGCCTAGCATGCATGAAACCCTGGGTTCAATTCCTCCATACCACATAAATATAAAAAGCTGAAAGTGGTACTATGTCTTAAGAGGTAGAGCACTAACCTTGAGCAAAAGGAGGTCAGGAACAGTGCCCAGGCCCTGAGTTCAAGCCCAAGGACTGGCAAAAAGAAAAAAGAAAGGCTGGGAAGGTGGCTCAGTGGTAGAGCACTTGTCTTGCATGCACGAGGCCCTGGGTTCAATTCCTTAGCACCACATAAGCAAAAAAGAAAAAAGCCGGAAGTGGCGCTGTAGCTCAAGTGGTAGAGCACTAGCCTTGAGCTGAAGAGCTGAGGGACAACGCCCAGGCCCAGAGTTCAGGCCCCACGACTGGACC